TGTATTCTGTTGCTTATGCTTGCATCTGTAGTTCCTATTAATTTACTGAGATTTTCTATTTCCAGCATTCCCTATTGTCTCTATTTCAGTTTTCAAATCTTGAACTGTTTCCTTCACCTGTTTAATTGCTTTTTCTTGATTTTCTTGGCTTTCTTTAAGGGATTTATTGATTTTTTTCCAGTTTTCTGTTTGTCTTTTCCTCGATTTCTTTAAGGGAATTTTTCATTTCCTCTTTGAAGACCTCTATTATCTTCTTAAAGTCATTTTTAAGGTCGATTTCTTCTGCTTCTTCTGCATTGGGATGCTCAAGTCTTGCTGATGTAGAACCTCTAGGTTCTGGTGGTGCCATATTGGTCTTTATGTTGCTGACTGTATTTTTGCACTGGCATCTATCCATCTCTTCCTCTACTTGGTACAAATGGTGCCTGTGTTTGAGAGGGCCTTTCTTGGTCCAAGCAACACTCTTGGTCCAATTGGAGCTCTTGGTCATCTTAGTCCAATTGGCACTGGTGGGCTCTATATCAGGGAGATGCTGCAGTCTCAGAGGTGGGTGGGTTTGGGTGGTGAGGTGGGGGGGTGATGGTAGTCTGGCCTGCCTACAGAAGACCTGCCTGCTGGACAGAAACTGGGTCTGCAATGAGTGGTGGTGTGGGGGTACATGGTTGTGCCCCTGGGCCCAAAGACTAGAGGTTGGAGTAATCAGGTAGGAGAACAATGACTCACCTCTTAGTCTAATCAGCTGGAGGGTTCTGTCTCAGGGAGCAGTGTGGTCTCAGAGGATGGGTGGGTTTAAGGGGGTGCAGTGGGGGATAGTGGTAGTTCGGCCGGCCTGCCTGCTTTGTCTCTGAGATTAATATTGTTAGAACATACTGTACATATATTTCTAATCTTGTTTGAGGTATTGTACCTATACAACTCACTTAATGTAATTTTGTAGTCCTTGAAAGTTATTATTACTAATTTTAGCAGTGAGTCATTACAACCAAATTTGTAGTCATATTAGGTATGTTTTCAAGGCAAAACAGAAATATATGTTAGATAAACAAGTCATCTTCAAACAGATCTACAGAATGTGGCATTTAAGATGGTTTAATAACATAGATTCTTTTTTTTTTATGCCTATGAGACATGTATGCTTCTGGAAGCACCAATCTACTTCAGAGAAGATGATGGACATCAAAGAAATTCCATATGGAGTTAATTTTCTTTGTGGCAAAAGTTAGCTACTGGGCAAGAAAGTGCCTTTGCCTCAACTGCTGACAGTATGCTGTCCAAATGGGACAAGAAGGACACAAAAGAAAAAACTGCCAAATCTTGTCTAGACAAAGTAGGGAGGCCCTTCAGAAAATCCTGCTTCACAGAAAAGTCTGTCAGATATACTAAGCCTTTAGACCAAAGATGGATACCCCAATGTTGCAGAGGAAGCTTGGTTGACTGTCCAGGCAGCCAGCTGTTTCTGTCATTTTTCACATTTTTTGGAAGTCACTTGTTTGTACTTCCTGTTTCCTTAGTAAATATTAGTTCCTTCTTGGGTCTCTGAGGGAGTTAAAGATTAGTTATAGTTTTCCTTGTTAACAAATTCAGAAAAGAAACTCACTAAAGATGTGAAAAGTGTATAAGTTTGAAAGACATCAAAAGATAGTAATATAAGTTAGAATAGAATGTGAATTGAGTACAACATTTTGGACTTACCAAAATAGAATAGATAATAAAGTATTTTCTCCGAATCTGTCAAATGTTAATGAACTGGACATTACTAATGTAATTATTGACTATATATTGTATATACTTATTGTACTTATTGTGTATAATTTTTCTTATATTAGTTATAAGCTTCTTTTATTATTTTAGACAAAGGGGGAAAATGTGGTGATATATTATGTACCCTAATAAATTTGCCTGAAGATCAGAGGACAGAGCCAGCCACTATATTAAACATAGATGCCAGACAGTGGTGGCACACACCTTTAATCCCAGTACTTGGAAGTTACACACTTTTAATCCCCACACCAGGAAAGTTGAGACAGGAAATGATATGGCTGGGAGGAGAAAGGTATATAAGGCATGAGGAGACAGGAACCCTAGAAGAGTCTTAGAGGTAAGATGCAGTGGTGGCTAGTTCCTTTGTCTCTCTGATCTTTCAGCATATACCCCAATAGGTGACTCTAGGTTTTTTATTAAAATACCATTTAGCAATTGAAACACCTTACTTTTTTGTCAACTCTTTTTGTAGCTGTAATTGACAGTACCCTGCCTTCCCCACTTTGCAGTCCCCACTGGGACCTTAAAGCTCCTCAGTCTCCACCCATCAATCCCTGGTACCTACCTACCTGGCAGAAATAAATATATTCTAATAGACATTTATATATCTCCCTTTGGATAATAACTAGTGCAACAGTAGAAACCATAAAATTCTAATTTCCAAGGGAATTTCATTGTGAGAAAAGACTGACTCCTTTAGATGAGAATGTTTCTACTGAAGAAATATTACTCCTTATTTGACCACCTTGAAGGAAACATGGGAGTTGAGGTTGGGGGAGGGCTTTAGAGATGAGAAAACTTTCATTATGTGGCTCAGTTATATTACTTGGTTGTTCATATATTTTGCCATCTATCTAAACCTATTAGGACCCCAAGGATGGGTTAATTACCTTATATCTTCATCACTGTCCCACAAACACACCATATCTATGATTGGCAAAGCAGAGTACTAGAGTGCACACAGTGTGAGTGCTGGCCTGTAGTTTATTCGTATTGTAGTTTTATTAAAATCTTATACTTTGTTTAAAGAACCATAATATATTTGTAGGTGTGTGTCTTTTATCAGTGGTGCTATGTTGCATTTTAAAAATTAATTATACATTTTCCAGAAATGTATAATTTCAAGTATTTTTATATTCTGATAATTGGCTATAGTAATTTGTTGTTGGTTTGGTGGAGTTTATGTAGAGAAATGGTTGTATTTTCTCATCTCAACCTCAATGACTTCCTTTTCCCCATTTCTTGGCATATCTGAGTTTTCTAATTTTTCTATTAATTAAATTTATTCATTAATTTTATATCACTACTATAGTTTCTTCTACCTCCTCCCCTCCTATTCTCTTGCCCCACCTCCCTTTGCCCCCCATCAACTCCTGTTTCTGTTTCTGTTCAGAAAGGGGCAGGCCTCCCATGGGTGTCAACAAAGCCTGGCATATAAAATTGAGATAGGGCTAAGCTCCTTCCCTTGTATTAAGGCTGGGCACAGCAACCCAGTATGAAGAATATGTTCCCCAAATCTAACGATAGTGCTAGGGACAGGCCCTGCTAGGAGCCCCACAAGTATACCAAGCTACACAACTGACACACATACGTAGAAGGCCTAGGTCAGTCCCATGCAGGTTCCCTAGCTATCAGTTTAGAGTCTGTGGGCTCTTATGAGTCCAGATTAGCTGTTTCTGTGGGTCCATTTGTGATGTATTTGATCCCCCAGACTTGTACAATCCTTCCTCCATCTCTTCAACAGGATATGCTGAGCTAGGCCCATTGCTTTGTTGTGGATCTCTGCACCTGTTTCCATCAGTTACTGGATGAAGGCTCTCTGATGACAGCTTGGGTAGCTACCAATCTGATTGCAGGAGATGGGCAGTTCAGGCATCTTCTTCACTAGGAGTCTTAGCTGGAATCATCCTTGTAGATTTGAGGGAGTTTCCCTTGCACCAGGTTTCTACCTGACACTGAAATAACACTTCCATTAAGATGTCTCTTTCATTACTCTCCCCCTACATTCACCCCCCAATAAGATAACTCCTGTTTCCATAGCCACCTACCCCAACTCTACTCAGGAGATCCCATTTATTTCTCCTTCCCAGGGAAATCCATGAACTCCTCTTTGGACCCTCCTTGTTACCTAGCCTCTCTGGGACTGTGGATTGTAGCATGAGTATCTTTTACATTGGAGCTAATATTCACTTATGAGTGAATACTTACCATGCTTCTTTTTCTGAATCTGTTTACCTCATTCAAGATGATTTTTCAAGTTCCATCCATCTGCCTTCAAATTTCCTAATGTCATTGTTTTTAAAATCCGAGTAATACTCCATATGTAAATGTACCACATTTTCTTTAACCATTCTTTGATTGAGCAGTATCTATGTTGTTTCCACGTTCTGGCTATTATGAATAATGCTGCTATGAACATAGTTGAACAAGTGTTCAGGTGGTATGATTGAGCAAACTTTGAGTATATGCCCAAGAGTAGTATAGCTGGGTCTTGAGGTAGATTGATTCTCAACTTTCTGAGAAAATGCCATATTGATTTCCAAAGTGGCTGTACACGTTTTCACTCCCACCAGCAGTGGAGGAGTATTCCTCTTACTCTACATCCTTTCCAACATAAGCTATCATTAGTATTCATGATCTTAGCCATTCTGACAGGTATAAGATGGAATCTCAGAGTCATTTTAATTTATATTTTTTCTGATGGCTAAGAATGTTGAACAATCTTAAAATATCTTTCAGACATTTGAGATTTTTTTGTTGAAAATTCTGTTTAGATGTTTACCATTTTTATTGGATTATTTATTTTTATTTTATAATTAATTTAATTTTATCTATCAGCCACAGATTCCCCTGTCTTCCCTCCTCCCACCCCCCAGCCTTCCCCCCAATCATTCCCACCTCCTCCAAGGCAAGGTCTCCCCTAGGGAGTCAGTCCAGCCTGGTAGATTCAGTTAAGGCAGGTCCAGTCCCTTCCTCCCTACACTGAAGCTGAGCAAGGTGTCTTAGCATAGGCCCTAGGTTCCAAAAAGTCAGCTCACACACCATGGGTAGGTCTCAGTCCCACTGCCTGGGGGCCTCCTAAAGAGTTCAAGCTCATCAACTGCCTCACTTATCTAGAGGGCCTGGTCCAGTTCCATGGGGGCTCCTCAGCTATTGGTTCACAGTTCATGTGTTTCTGCTCCTAAACAGTTCAAGCTCATCAACTGTCTCACTTATCCAGAGGGCCTGGTCCAGTTCCATGGGGGCTCCTCAGCTATTGGTACACAGTTCATGTGTTTCTGTTAGTTTGGATATTTGTCCCTGTGCTTTTTACAATCATGGTCTCAATATCTCTTGCTCATATAATCCCTTCTCCCTCTCGGCAATTGGACTGTTGGAGCTCCACCTAGGGTTTGGCTGTGGACCTCTGCATCTGCTTCCACTAGTCACTGGATGAGAGTTCTATGATGACAGTTAGGGTGTTTGGCCATCCGATCACCAGAGTAGGTCAGCTCAGGCACTCTCTCGACCATTGCCACTAGTCTATAGTGGAAGTATCTTTGTGGATTTGTGGGGACCTGAGAAGAGAAAGTAGGAAGTAGTTTTGAATGCATTTGCATTGGAGATCACTTTCTAAATATAATACCAGTAGCACATACACTGAGAGAAACAATTAAATGGGACCTCTTGAAACTGAGAAGCTTTTGTAGGGCAAAGACATGGTCAATAAGACAAAATGACACCTACAGAATGGGAAAAGATCTTCACCAACCCCACATCTGACAGAGGACTGATATCCAGAATATATAAAGAACTCAAGAAAATAAACATCAAAATATTGAACAATCCAATTAAAAAATGGTCTATAGAGCTAAATAGAGAATTCTCAACAGAAGAAGCTCAAATGGCTGAAAGACATTTAAGGAATTGCTCAACATCCTTAATCATCAGGGAAATGCAAATCAAAATGACTCAGATACCATCTCACACCCATCAGAATGACTAAGATCAAAAATACTGAAGACAGCTTATGTTGGAGAGGATATAGAGCAAGGGGAACACTCCTCCACTGTTGGTGGGAATGCAAACTTGTATAGCCACTTTGGAAATCAATATGGCACTTTCTTAGAAAATTGGGAATCAACCTCCTTCAAGACCCAGCTATACCACTCTTGGGCATATACCCAAGGAATGCTCAATCATACCACAAGGACACATGCTCAACTATGTTCATAGCAGCATTGTTTGGATTATTTATGTTTTGATGTCTAGTTTCTTGGGTTCTTTATATATTTTGGAGATCAGCCCTCTGTTAGATGTGGGATTGGTGAAGATCTTTTCCCATTCTGTAGGCTGCTGTTTTATCTTATTGACAGTGTCCTTTTACTTACAGATGCATTTTAGTTTTATAAGGTCCCATTTATTATTGACCTCATTGTCTATGCTACTGGTGTTCTATTCATGATGTTTTCTCCTGTGCCAGTGTATTCAATGCTGTTTCCCACTTTCTCTTCTATTAGGTTCAGTGTAACTAGATTTATCTTGAGGTCTTTGATCCAGTTGGACTTGAGTTTTGTGCCAGGCAATAGATATGGATCTATTTGCATTCTTCTACATACCAAACTGCAGTTATGCCAGCACCATTTGTTGAAGATGCTTATTTCCATTGTACAATTTTGGCTTCTTTGTTAAAAATCAGATGTTCATAGGTGTGTGGATTTATGTCAGGGACTTTGGTTTGATTCCATTGATCCATCTTTCTGTTTTTATGCCAATACCAAGCTAGTTTTATTACTATAGCTCTATAGTGGAGCTTGAAATTAGGAATGGTTCTACCTCCAGAAATTCCTTTATTCTATCAGATTGTTTTAGCTATCCTGGTTTTTTTGTTTTTGCATATGAAGTTGAATATTGTTATTTCCAGGTCTGTAAAGAATTGTGTTGGAATTTTGATGCAGATTGCATTGATAGATTTGTAGATTGCAATTTGTAAATTGCTTGTGGTGAGATGGTCATTTTAATATGTTAATCATATTGATCCATTAGCATGGGAGATTTTTTTCATCCTCTGATATCTTCTCAAATTTCTTTCCTCAAAGACTTGAAGTTCCTGTCATACAGGCTTTTCACTTGTTTGGTTAGAGTTACCCCGGGATACTTTATATTATTTGTGGTTATTGTGAATTTCTTTCTCAGTCTGTTTATTATTTGTATTTATGAGGGCTACTGATTTTTTGAGTCAATCTTGTATCCAGTCATATTGCTGAAGGTGTTTATCAGCTGTAGGAGTTCCCTGGTAGAGTTTTGGGGGGTCGCTTATGTCTACTATAATATGATCTGCAAATATTGAAAGTTTAACTTCTTCTTTCCCAAATTGTATCCCCATGATCTCCTTTTGTTGTCTTATGGCTCTAAATATAACTTCAAGTACTATATTGAATAGATATGGGAAGAGTGCACAGCCTTGTCTTTTTTCTGATTTTGTTTTGCTTGTGAAATTGTTTAGAGTTTCTCTCCATTTAATTTGATGTTGACTGTCAGTTTGCTCTATATTGCTTTTTTATGTTTAGGTATGTCCCTTGTATCCTTCTAAGATTTTTATTATGAAGGAGTGTTGGATTATGTCAAAGGATTTTTCAGCACCTAATGAGATGACCATGTTTTTTTTTTCTTTCAGTTTGTTTATATGGTGGATTACATTGATAGATTTTCATATGTTGAACCATCCTGCATCTCTGGGATGAAGCCTACTTAATTATGGTGGATGATCATTTTCACGTGTTCTTGGATTTGGTTTGCCAGGATTTTATTGAGTATTTTTGCATGAGTGTTCATGAAGGGAATTTGTCTTTAATCCTCTTTCTTTGTTGCCTCTTTGCATGGTTTCAGTATCAGAGTGACTGTGGCTTCATAAAAGGCATTTGAAAATGTTCCTTCTGTTTCTATTCTATGGAGTAATTTGAATAGTATTGGTATTAACTCTTCTTTGAAAATCTAGTAAAATTATGCACTAGAACCACCTGTCCCTGGGCTTTTTGTTTTTGTTGTTGTTGGGAGAGTTAATGGGTTGCTTCTATTTCCTTAATGACTATAGGTTTATTTAAATTATCTGGCCTTGGCTAGTATATGGCACCAATGAAGAAAACAGTCCATTTCTTTTAGATTTTTCAGTTTTGTGGAGAACAGGTTTTTGAAGTGTAACCTAAAAATTATCTGTTTCCTCAGTGTCTGTTATTATGTGCCCCCTTTTGTTTCTGATTTTGTTAATTTGGATATTCTCTCTCTGCCTTTTAGTTAGTTTGGGTAAGGGTTTGTCTACCTTGTTGTCTCAAAAAACCAACTCTGTTTCATCAATTCTTGTATTCTTCTTGTTTATATTTTATTAATTTCAGTCATTAGTTTGGTTACTTGCTGCCTTCTACTCCTCTTGGGTATATTTGCTTCTTTTTGTTCTAGAGCTTTCAAGTGTGCTGTTAAGTCACTAGTATAAGATTTCTCCAAGTCCTTCATGCAGGCACTTAATTTTCAGAACTTTCCTCTTAGCGTTCACTTGGCCCATAAGGTTGGGTATGTTGTGCATTCATTTTTATTGAATTTAGGAAGTCTTTCTTCTTCATTCCTTCCTTCCTACCTTTCTTCCTTCCTTGACCCAGCAGAAATTCAGTGGAGAGTTGTTCAGTTTCCATGAGATTGTAGGCTTTCTTTAGTTTATTTTGTTGTTGAACTCCAACTTTAACTGATGGCAACTCAATAAGATACATAGGGGGTTATTCCAATTTTTTGTATCTCTTGAGATTTGCTTTGTGACCAAGTATGTCACTAAGTATGGTCTATTTAAAGAAGGATTCATGAGGGACTGAGAAGAAGGTATATTCTTTTGTGTTTGGGTAAAATGTTTTATATAGATATATGTAAGGTCCATTTGAATCATAACATCTGTTAGTTCCCCTTTTCTCTGTTCACTTTCTGTCTAGAGGACCTGTCCATTGGTGAGAGTGGGGTATTCAAGTTCCCACTATTAATGTGTGGAATTCAGTGCTTGATTTAAGCTTTAGTTATGTTTAAGACTTACATATGTTGGTGTCCTTCAGTTTGGGACATAGATGTTCAGAATTTCAACTTCATCTTAATGGATTTTTCCTTGATGAATATGAAATGTCCTCCATATTTTTAGATTAATTTTAGCTTGAAGTCTAGTTTGTTAGAAATTAGGATAGCTACACCAGCTTACTTCTTTGGTCAATTTGATTGGAAAATCTTTTTCTAACCCTTCACTCTGAGGTAATATCTGTCTTTCAAGGTCACACATGTTTCTTGTATGCAGCAGAAAGATAAATCCTGTTTTTGTGTCCATTCTGTTAGCCCATGTCTTCTTATTGGTGAATTGAGTCCATTGATATTGGGAGATATTGATTTCTGGTGATTGCAAATTCCTCTTATTTTTGTTGTTGTAGGAGGTGGTAGTGTGTGTGTGTGTGTGTGTGTGTGTGTGTGTGTGTGTGTGTGTTTCCCTTTGGGTTTTGCTGGTGTGAGATTATCTATTGCCAATGTATTCATGTATGCAGCTAACTTCCTTGTGTTGGAGTTTTCTTTCTAGTACCTTCTATAGGCTTGGCTTTGTGGGTTGGTATTGTTTAAATCTTGTTTTGCAATGAAATATCTTGTTTTCTCTGTCTATGCTGATTGAAAGTTTTGTTGGGTATAGAAGTCTGGGCTGATATCCATGATCTCTTACTGTCTGCAAAACATCTGCCCTGGACCTTCTGGTTTTAGAGTCTCAATTGAAAAGTCAGGTGTGATTCTGATATATATGCCTTTATATATTACTTGGTGATCAGCCTGCCTCTATTTCTCACATGCTAGGGTTAATGGTATGTACTAACATGCTAAATAATCTCTGTTTTTGAAAATAATGTGAAACAGTGGCTGAGAATTGATATGACTTTAAGAGGTATTGTTGCATTTCTCCAATGCCCCTTTTCATCTGTTATTCTCTCTCTCTCCCTCTCTCTGTGTTTGTGTGTGTGTGTGTGTGTGTGTGTGTGTGTGTGTGTGTGTGTGTTACTGTAGCACAGGCTTTCCTCAAATTGACAGTGATCTTTCTTTCTCTGGATCCAAAGTGCTATGATTTAAGGAATGCATCACAATGCTTGCCTATAAGTTTTTTGATGCAAGCTGTCTCCTTCTCCTTCTTTTTAAAATTTAATCATTATTTAATGTGTATGTGTATTTTGGCTGTAAGTATGTCTGTGTACCTGGTTCATGACCAGTGTTGAGGCATGCTGAAAGAGGGTGTCAGGTTCCCCTGGGACTGGAATTATAGGTAGTTTGAACTATCATATTTATACTGGTATGGATCCTGTATGCTCTGGAAGTCTTCAGTGCTCTTAACTACTGAACTATTTCTTCAGCCTGTGTTTTCCATTCTTGAATATGTTTCATGTAAAGAGTAGCCTAAGTCACTAGGGGATCAGATTTCTTTTCATCATTAAAGAGTGGACTCTCCTTCAAATGGGAGAATTGGCCTCAGGCAGGAATGAACTGTCTAACTGGTGATCTAATATGTGGTGAGGTGGTTAGAAACTATATACATACAACCAAAAGAAAATAAAGAATTTTCTTAGCATAATGTATTCATACATTTGTGCACACTTATTCACACAACTGTATATAGAGACTTGACAAGGATGGTGTGAGAATTTGGGAAGAGATGCAGGGGTGTCAAGTAAGGAAGAAAGAGATACAATTATATTTTAATTGAAATGAATAAAAATTAAATATAAATAAATATTAGAGGGACTAGATCAGTGGTTCTCAAGCTGTGGATTATGACCCCTTTAGGACTGAATAACCTTTTTAGAGGAGTCACATATTGGATGTCTTGCATATTAGGTATTTACATTACAGTAAATACCTTTTTTTTTTTTTTTGGTTTTTTGAGACAGGGTTTCTCTGTGTAGCTTTGCGCCTTTCCTGGAACTCGCTTTGTAGACCAGGCTGGTCCCGAACTCACAGAGATCTGCCTGCCTCTGCCTCCCGAGTGCAGGGATTAAAGGCATGCGCCACCACCGCCCAGCATGTTACAGTTCTTAACAATAGCAAATCACACTTATGAAGTAGCAATGAAAGAATTTTATGGTTGTGGATTACCAAAACATGAGGTACTGTGTTACAGGGTCCAAGCATTAGAATGGTTGAGAACCACTGGCCTAGAGAAACGTCAGTGTTTAAGGTCATTGAGTGCTGTTGGCTAACATTTCTATGATGGCTAACAAGCTGCTATATCTCCAATCCAAGGAAATCTAATGCCCTCTTCTGGCCCCTGCAGGTATGGCACATAGACATATACAGTCAACCACCCATGTACATAAAATAAAAGGCTAAACAACAAATGGAATTCTCTACAATGATGTCATAGCCCTGAGAATGACAGCAGCCAGAGCTAGTTAAACTCTTTCTGGCCTAGCGTGGAAGCAACTGTGGACTTCCTCTGAGCCAGCCTGTTCAAAGCCTAAAGCAGCCTTGTTCTGAGGTTAGAATAGCTCAGCATAGCCATCAATCTAAGAACAGCAACCACAATGCTGATAGGTGACTTTCTCTTGATGTTTTCTATATTTGCATCCTTTATCTTTTGTATTTATGAGAATTGTGGCATTGGCACATCTATCTTTCAGATTATATATCATGATTAACAGCATTGGCTACTAAGCAATCAACTTTGACAGTATCATTTACTTGATTTTCAGCTAAGAACTTATGGTACAGATGAACATGCCAGAAGTATTTCTGTCCACCATTTTTATATTTTAAATAACTTTCTGCTTAACATTGTGCTAAGAATACCCCTGAATGTCTCTGCTTTTCATTGTGACCATGTTTAGAAGTGGACTTGTTAACTGAGCATGATTACAAATCTTGGGAAATGATTCCCATGGTCTGTTTGCTTACTACAGGTAAGAAATCTTTCTCAGCCCTTCTGTATTGGCTCTTGTGGTAGCTGTTCTCAGTTGTCAACTTAACTACATCTAAAATTAATTAAATCCCATACAGCTGGGTACACCCGTGAGGTATTTATCTTAATTAAATCATGTAAAGTGGGAAAACCCACCATTAAGCAGGGTCTTTTGAGGTGGGAAGATCTACCTTTAATTTGGGCTATCTTTGTTGGCAGCCTATGTATAGAACATAGAAGAAGCAAGTTTTTGTTCTTTGCCTGTTTACTCCAGCTCTTTCTAGCAACATCATTCTTCTACTGGCATTACAACCCACTTCTTGAAATTCCTGCTTATACTGAAGACCAGCTGAGACATTCAGCCTTCAAGACTGAACAACTACTGGATTCTTGGTTAAGTGAGAGAAGATAGCATGGTCAGCTTTTGGAGGCCAGGTGTGACTGCTTCAGAACTGGAAATCTCTACAGAACTGGGACTAGTCTGTGTCTGGGTTGGAAGTCAGGGCAGGAAACCACTATGCTGTGTCACTTTAGTACACTGACTCCTTAAGGAAGCTGCCCTTGTCACTCAGAATTCACTAGCCAATCGGGGACTCTGAGTGGACCTGCCATTCAGCAGGTTTGGCTAGCTCTTCCAGCTTCCATGTTGCAGGCCTGCTCCATCACTCAGGTAGTAGTATGTGCTGCACTGTGAGCATCACTGACAGTAGCTATAAGGAGAATGTTGGTGAGCTTGGGTGAGATTGGAAGCCTCAACCTTGTCGGCAAAGGACTGCTTTCCTCAGAAGTGGAGGAGCAGCCTGCTGAGTTACTAGGAGCTGGTTTGGTGGATCATCTCCAAGGCTGGATGAGAACTGGAAGCCAAACAAGGTAATACGCAGGGTCTGGAGCAGACATTAGAATTCCCTGAGTGAGGACAATGTCCTCTGAATGATTTTGCCCTGCAGACAGAGTTGCATAGAGCATAGGAAGCAAGGTCTGTATATAAAAACATCCTCATTCTTGATCATTGTGCAATATGCTTTGAATATAGATTTGTAAGGCAGATTGCCAAACTCACAGGTGTAATTTCTCTAGTATCTTCTAGAAGTTCTGCAATTCTATTCAACAATGAAGTTTAGGAACCATTTGGAGATAATTTTGTTGAGACCCAGTCTGAACCCTCCATGGCTAGACTTGGTGTGAACAACACCCACAATCAGGTTAGGTGCATCTGCAAATAGAAGCAGAAAATCCAAAAAATTTAGTCAGTATCCCTCACTCTATAAAGATATTAAGATATAGAAAAATACAACACTCTGACTTACTTTTCTATAAGTGGCACCCTTTATCCCAGTTTATGTTCAAGCTACACCCGTGTGTAGAAAACTATTGATACTATGTTCTCAAGGCCCAGGGGTGGAAGAAATCCCAAAGGATATCAATATGCGTGATTCTTATCTGTTAAGAAAAATGAAAGTACCCTGGACTATCTTCTTCTAGATCTTCTTTGTCTGCCTCTGCAGAATGTACTCTGGAGGGTTCTTAGCTCCTATTTCTTTTCTCATGGTTACTCTTGAGACAAGGACACACCACCAATATTAGCAGCTGTACTAATGTGTTCCTGGATACCTGTATCCTCTTCTTCACTAGTCAACCAGAAGACAAGCTCTGTATGAATTATCCATGCCTATTAGTAATTATATACATTCCTAGACATTTGTCTCTGGAATACCTATGACCTTACTAAATTATCATTGAATTTATTTTTTTGCTTTTGTTTTTTGAGACAGTGTTTCTCTGTGTAACAGTTCTGGCTGTCCCAAAACTTGCTCTATAGACCAGGCATCCCTCAAACTCACAGAGATCTGCCTCTCTCTGCCTCCCAAGTGCTGTGATTAAAGGCATAAACCACTACCACCCCATGCAACTCCTTGAATTTTTGTCTGTCTGAATTTAGCCTGCTTGTGCTGTATCCTCATCCATCAAAACTTCTGGAGTGGATATATTGGGACACATGCCAAAGAAATTAGTAAATTTTTAGTGACTATTGGTTATGGAGAATTTTGGCTCTCTTGTGAGATAAAATTCCAATATTTCTTTTAAATATTCTCTTAACCCTGTTCTCTAAATTTATAATCTGTTAATCCCTGTTACACTTCTCACTATACATATAAGCCAAACATGATAACACCCAGTCTAAATTCCCCTTTTTAGAGATGGCTTCCTATAAGTCAGTTTGCCTGAGTTAGAAAAGGAATAGTATAATTTACTATTTTACTGTATGTTGTCTTAAATACCCCTAGTTCAGAGAATATAGGACATAGAAAACACAAAACATACAAAGCAATGTAGAAAGAAATAATATTAGAATGTCCTTTTTCCATAGCATATTTATGTCATAGTAACTAGAAAATGAAAATAAAAGCATGAGTTTAGAGGGCATCCTGGGGGCAGATACAGAAGTGGACAGCAAACCTGGATCAAAGGAGTCCTGAATATCTTAGAGATAAAGAGGATAGAAAATTCCATGTGGAGAGTTGGCCTGGGATAGCACATTAAGACTCAGAATCGCCTGCATATGTAGCCTCCAACTGTCATAGCTGCTAGTTATCTGGCACCAAGCAATCTATTCCTTTGGTTCCCTTGGGACATGGACTTTCCCAAAACCAGCTCTAGATGATGCAAGTTCCCATGAGTCTTCCAAGTCTAAACACTTTAAAGGATCAGCTTCCTTTGATAGCTAATTAGTGGTGGAGATACATGGCTAAGAAAATTCTTGATTCTCTGTGGGAGACAGAAAATATATTATGTAAAGTAGTTTGTTAAAAAAACAAAGTGAGGGCTGCAGAGATGGCTCAGAGGTTAAGAGCACTGGCTCCTCTTCCAGAGGTCCTGAGTTCAATCCCCAGCAGCCATATGGTAGCTCACAATTATCTGTAATAAGATCTAATACCCTCTTCTAGTGTACAGGCAAACATGCAGAAAGAACATTGTATGCATAATGAATAAGTAAATCTTTTTAAAAATTAAAATAAAATAAATCAAATACACACCATGGAAGTCTGAGGTAACCTCCTTAGTATAAGTGAGGTAATATTCTGAAGGTTCAGTGGCACCAAGAAGTTTATGGATATCTCCATTTTAGTTTATGTAAAGTGGTTTCAGTAACCAAGAATTCACATTCCATTTATCTTTTTTATAAAATCATTAGCAAAGGTGTGGTGGTATTGTGTTTCCCAAAATATTGTGTATCTTAATAAACTTATCTGGGGTCAGAGAACAGAAAAGCCACTAGTTAGGCAGTGATAGCACACGCCTTTAATCCTAGCATTCCAGAGGCAGAAATCCCTCTGGATCTCTGTGAGTTCAAGGCCACATTGGAAACAGTCAAGCATGGTGACACATACCTTTAATCCCAGAAAGCCAGCCTTTAATCCCAGAGAGTGGTGGTAGAAAGCAGAAAGCTATATAAGGTGTGAGGACCAGAAACTAGAAGCATTTGGCTGGTTAAGCATTTGGCTGGGTAAGCATTCAGGCTTTTAAGCAGCAGTTCAGCTGAGAGCCACTGGGACACAGAAGCTTCCAGTCTGAGGAAACAGGACCAGCTGAGGAATTGGCAAGGTGAGATAGCTGTGGCTTGTTCTGTCTCTCTGACCTACCAGCATTGACCCCAATAATTGGCCTCGGGTTTGATTTTATTAATAAGAACTTTGAAGATTGCTGCTACACAAAGGTTGTTGTAGAATATTATTTTAAGATGTGTTACTTTTGTTCATGCTGTGAAACATTTGTTTAGTAATGTAAAGATGTGTTGCATTATTTTATGTTGCATTTGTATAACTGTAAAGCTGTGTTACTTTGTGTAAAACACCTGATGGTCTAGTAAAGAGCTGAATGGCTAATAGCAAGGCAGGAGAAAGGATAGATGGGGCTGGAAGGCAGAGAGAATAAATAGAAGAGCAAATCTGGGAAGAAGAAAGAACAAGAGAACAAGAAAAGGAGGATGCTAGGAGCCAACCACCCAGACACAGCCAGACATGGAATAGGAAGGAAAGAAAGATATACAGAGATAGAGAAAGGTAAAGGCCAGAGGCAAAAGATACATGGGATAATTTAAAGTTAAGGAAAGCTGGCTAGAAACAAGCCAAGGTAAGGCCAGGCATTTATAGTTACGAATAAGCCTCCATATGAGATTTATTTGGGAGCTGGGTGGCAGGCCACCCAAAAGAGCAAAGGGCCCTCAAAGACCAAAGAGTAAAAAGAGTAAAAAACAACCAACTACATTTTGGCACACCAAGGTGGGGCCCATATTCCTGTGTAGGGCCTGAGGAAAAAAAGACACTGCTCCTTCAAGAGTTTCTCCTGGACAGTTTCTGCCAGATAGCAAAACCTTGTTAGGTACCATGTTAAGTAAGAACAACAACAAAAAACTGAAAATGCCTGCCACTGTGCAAGCATCAGCATTCTAGAGCTCTAGGAATGTCAAATGCAGTTCCTGGTCATGCTCCTCTGACAGGGATGCAAGTTTTAGGCTTGGCTCTCATGAAGCTAGAAGCAGGTAGAGCCAGTTGAGATCCACAGAGGATCCAGGTGTAGCTTAGCAGTTTAAACTTTTCTCACAAGGTCAAAAAAGACTAGAGATACACAGTAAAAGAGGTCCAGACAGAAGAAAACCTATAAACAGGTTCCAGTGTGTTTTACAATGTGCATAGGCTTACGAAAAAGAGAAAAAGGTTACGGACAGTCATAGAAATAGTTTTAAAATAATAAAGTCTTTAAAGAGAAAAGTAAAATAATAAAAGAATACACCATGCAAAAATGGGAAATACACAGAGAGTTTGAAATGCTTCATATTTTGTTAAATTTTTTGATGGCTGATGGACAGGAGATAGCTACAGGGAAACATGGAATTGTGAATACGAGTACAAAATGGAATAAACCTAGATATTTTAGGGCTATCTTAACTTTAAAGAAGTCAGAATATGTTTGTCAAATGGAAATAAAAAAAATGTTTTGGAGTTTTGTTCCCACAAGAGATGAGAGGTTGTAAATTGCTTCAGGAATAATATGGATCAGGTTTGATCAAGGGAGACCTCCTGAATCTGGATAGATGATATATATCAACAAAGGATACCACTGGCCTTCCCAGAACTTGGCCATTATCTCAAATTTTCTCAGAGACCCTTTGGGATGCCTTCATCCAAAGACAACAGGAAGCAGTTTAGAGAAGAGGATGCCCACATCCCCAAGAGGGGTGTGTTTTTGGTTAATTGGTGGGTCATGGATATTTGTCATATTTAGGGGAATATAGGAATGTAGCATAATAAGACAATATTAATCTCAGATATTTTGCACTGGAATTGATTTTTGTATATTGATACAAATTTAAGGTTATTTTTGTTACAACATATTGTATATATGTTTCTACTCTTGTTTAAGATATTGTACCTATGCAGTTCATTTAAAATGTAAGGTAAAATTTTAGTTTTTGAAACCTATTATTATGAACTATTTAGGATAATCAAGAAACACAGGTCAGTAGTTAGTCATGTATAACAATCAGATTTGTAGATATGTTAGGTATGTTTTCAAGATCATATAAAGATATATTTCAGATAGATAAATGGTTTTCAAACACTTCAAAGACCTACAGAATATGGCATTTAAAATTTTTTGTTAACCTAAGATTTTTTATGACAATGAGACACATCTCCTAGCAGCACCAATTTACTTCAGACATGATGGGCATGGAAGAAACTCCTTATGGAGTTTGCTTTCATTGTGGCAACATTAGCCACTGGACAAACAAACTGCTCTTGCCTTTGACTGCTGACAATGTGCTATGCAGATTGGACATACAGGACACACAGGAGAAAGACTGTTGAACTTTGCCAAAACAAGGCAGGATAGTCCTTTAAAATTCCTGCTTCACAGAAGAGTCTGCCAGATAATCTAGACCTGTAAGCTTAAGATGGATGCCTCAACAATACAGAGGAACTTTGGGTGACTATCCAGGCAGCCAAATGTCTCTGTTATTAGAAAATATTATACAGTTCTGGGTCTTTGATGGAGTTGACTCCATCAAAAACTTTATAACTCCATAAAGTTATAGTTGTAGTTTTTCTTAGTTATGATAGAAAGTAAATTAGGTATAAATCTTTGGATTAACTAAGATAGGATAAGTAATGCATCATTTTCTCTGAATATGCTAACTACAAATGGATAGAATTT